CGACCTACCGACCTACCGACCTAGCTGCCTATGGCTTGAAGTCTCAAGTCTCAAGCTTGCAACTCGACCGGCCGGTTTGAAGCCGAACCGTTTACGAACCAGTGGCCACGCCGTAAGACTGAAGCCGAACCTGAAGACCGTAACTCCTATAAGCTTCAAGCCCATTCGGTGCACATTTTTCGTCAGTGGCCTTCTTGCGGTCAACGTCACAGATGATCTCAACGAACTTTTGGTAGATGGGCCAAGTTGGCCTAGGCTCAGCTCTGAGGGGATGGGGTTGTGGACGACCCAGCACTCAAACAACAGTAAGAATGCTGCTGGTAGTGATGGTAACCGTGGCGGCCGTCCTCGTGGTCGTCGTCGTCGTCGTTTGTAGCAGAAGCAGCAGCAGCAGCAGCAACAACGCAGCAGCAGCAGCAGCAGCTTGGACTCGTGCGTAAACTAGCAAGCAGGTGATTGAGCTGGCCTTATACTATGTACGTAGTAGTGCTGAAGAAAAGGATAGTAACATTGATATTAAAGCGTTGCTGCTTGTCAATCTGCAGTGCTGCTCGTCAGTTTTAGGTAACTCCTCCCACCAGTTCTACTACTCACGAGAATGATACAGTGGCATTGGCGCGTTGGTCAATGCCCTGATGTAGTACAAGCCGCATCCGAATATCAGTGCTAACGAGAATGTCAACGAAATTTCGACATGACAGGTCCTGAAACTCTTTCTCACTCTGGCGATGGTGATGTATGATGATGGTGATGACGATACTTGTCCACGTTACCTGCTGGTGCTCGTGCTTGTGCTCCTATGTACTACTCTGTGCTACTATGTGCCAGTACTGGTGTTGTGGCAATTTCGTCTCATGCCTCTGTGCCCTGAGCCAGGCAATCTGAGAACGACGCTTCTGCTCGCCTCCACTTTCTCCGCCACTGACATTCTCGGATTTCAGGCCACACCTTCAGTCCAAGATATCGACTTGCACACACTCTCACCAAGCAGGCGCTTGGCAACAAAGCCAACCAGGTCAGATGCTCTGTACCAGGGTGAACTAAGCCCCGTTTCAACTTTGCACCTGCGCAAGGACTCTTCGGACCGTCGATATCTAATGCATACCCAATTCACATCGACACCCAAACTTAGGCAAAGCCGCTACCTGCTTGCTAACACAGGATTACGTGAAGCCTGTGCTGAAAGCTGGGCGAAGTAGAGTTCCACCACTGCGATTCTGCCACAATGCTTTCTGAAGGCTGCCATCGCGGTTTAAGTGGCGTACTGTCCGGTGTTGAACAAGTATCCCGGCTCCTGCCGGCGAGAAGCGAGAACAGCATTTTCTGCGAGGCCATCAAATTCTGAGCCCAATGAATACCACCAAGGCACCAAGGCAAGAATTGCGAAACTGTCTATGTTCTGTTCTGTTCTGTTCTCCGGGGTACGAGGAGCTGGTCAGGCTCCCCGCGGCGATGGGTGCGCCCCTGTTTTGGGGCCTTGTGGGGTCTCGGAAAAAGACATGGAACACTTTGTCTCTGTCTCTGTGTGCGTGTGTGTCTTGTAGACATATCAAGCAGAGCGGCATCTGGCATCCTCGCACCACCATCGCCATCACCATCATCTTTCCGAACAGCCGAAGACACACCAAAGTAGCGGGACAGCCCAGAGCCGATGCAATTTCAGAAAGCGGATCGACAGAAGTGAATATCCAACTACATCCGAGCACAGCAAAGGCAGCCGCAAAGAAGGTGGTCTTGTAGCCACGAGAAGCACATGTTGTTCTTAAAAACCGCAGCATGCGATCATGTAATCTGATGCGTGCATCACGGCATGATCGGGGTGGTGGGGCATCAACACGACCAACTTGCAAGATCAACATCGGCGACATGATCAGGGAGTGTTTACGTCGTTCATGTTGCAGCAATGGCTGTGCACACATAAAGAAGATTGCGGACCATGGCACAATCCGAGAACAATCCGGTGCCAAGCATCATGTCTGTCTGTAGCCCTTTCTTAACCAGCCATCTGTCTCGGCCTCCACCTCACTGACGGGCACAACACCGACCTCGACGGCATCGTTGCCCTGTGCATAAGCAGCAAATTGCTCAGGTAAAGCGAGGAGCCGCTACCTCTGGGCCTTAACTTGGTTGTAAAGTACTTGTCATGAAACTTTTGCAAAGGTGCGAAAGCTTCAACACGATGCTGTCAACTTGCTGGAGCCTCCTCAATCTTCAGCAGCCAGCGCAAAAGTCCAGCACCTGAAACATGACTCTCGGCATTCTCTAGTCCAGAATCAGACTACGAAAAAAGCGGTGTGCGAACACAGCTATAGCTAGGAGAGCCAGAGCAATGCTGTCACTGTCTGTAGTAGGAAAAAGAACTGTGCTGAGAGTTTCCTCAACTTCGCGTGGATGAGCTTCCGGCTGGCCGCCTCTGCGCTGACCAGCAGGTCTGGCCTCAAGGGACAGCCAGATGGCGGGATGAATGCTGTTTAGTCTTTTGCGGCACTCCACAGAGGTTACAGCTCGTGCCAGTCGCTCGGGCTCCAGGCCCCCCCTGTGCAACGGCCTGATCTGAGCCTTGCAATTGGAATTAGCAAGCTGGAGGGGCAATCTCCGATTGCAAGCAGACGGTCTGTCAAGCGCTCATCAAGGCGACTAACATTGTCAGGCCCTGAGGGTCAACTCACCGGTGTGGCCTGTGAACTGCCAGTTGCGAGTCTCGCAGAACCTCGGCACCATCTGCTGTCGGCTTCAAGTCTTCGCAGCAGGCGCATGCGGTGGCAGAGCGGACCGTATCAACTTTGCACATTCAGGTGTCTGGATCTGGATCTCCACCTGTACCTACGTGCGACGCAGGACTAGCTTTTAGCCGGCTGCAGCACTTTGGAAGCACGGCTTATTCCTAAGGAGGTGAAAAGACTGAGGTGCGATTGCTTCAACATCTCATCCCTGATTGCTATAGTATCACAGATCATGGGTAATGCATGCGCACCCAGAGCTACGAGTAGTGTCCTTCAAATTTGCGGCTCCGCAGTGGACATCTTCTCGATCTGGCAACAAGGCTCGACTCGACACTCGACTCAGCCGTCTTATGCGTTGGTTTCAAAGCGAGAAGGCCTGGAGGAACTCGTCGACCATTTGGTTGGCCCAGGGCTCAAACTGCTCCATGCCTCCACGTGGTGGAGTCTCCTCCTCAGCGTCTTTGCTTTTGGGCCGGAGTTGAGACAGGGGGGTAGCGGGTAAAGTCTGATATTCGGGGCCCCAGGTTCAGCGATCGGGAACCACCGATAACACAAGCAACACAGAATACATGGAAACCATGAGATGCCGTCAGGTTCTTCGAAGAGGGCCGTGATGCCCTGGATAATGAACTAATGAGCAGTGCAGTATACAATCTTCAGTTGAGCAAAATTGAATCAACGATGCTGCGGTATACACGAAGGCGAACCAGCGCCGGCCTCCAACCACAATCCTAGCGGCCGTGGTGAAGCACCCAAGAAAACCACCTCGTGAGCCTCGTAAGGCTTTCTTGCAAGGGAAAGGAACCGCCGCAAGGCAGCTGTCATGCCTCCCTTAATCCATGCCTGAGGCGAGCTGTCCAACCTTGCCTCAAGATCCCTACAGTCGTGCATTCCGAATGCTGCATTTCCTTGATTCGTTCATGATATGCCAATCTCGGAATCCAAAGACCCATTGTGAAGAGCACCCCGTCTAGCCTCAAGCCTTATACCAGGGTATCCGCGCGACAAGTTTCCACATCCTCAGCCAAAGCCGGGTCGATAGGGTACATCCGAGGCCAAGCAGAAAGGGAGGCGTTTCGAGCAGCCCACCAAGGTGTAACCTGGGCCACCAACTTCGCAACTGCTGCTCCAGTGGCTTCAGGGTAAATATGGAGGCTGAAGAGAACAGATCCGGCTTTCGGCGGCCAACTCATGCTTTGGAGCTTGGCAAGTATGGCACAGGAATGCGCCGTGACCGTCTTGCAAGATCTGAACTAGTTTGAGTGCGGCCTGAAACAGCAATTGCAGCAACGAATTCGGAGCTCTGGCTGATGTGATCGTTTGGTGGTCTCGTGATTACAGTCCTGGGGCACTCGTGCTGTCGAAAAAAAGCATAAGGCTTCAAGCCGCTTGGCAGAAAGCCGAGGTGCTCTTCGCAATCCTTACTCAACACCCATCACAAGCTGAGGATCCCACTTGCCTTGACCCGGAAATCCACAAACCCAACAACCCTCCGGCGACACCTTTCTGGGCTCTCGGCCACGTCTCGGTAAATCTCTGCGATGGCGTCGGCAAAGCGCCGACCGAGCTCCGAGTCCTCCCCGGGCTTTCGGTTCAACAGTTTTGGGTTCTGTTAGGGCTTGGGGCTTGAGGTTTGGGGGGGGGGTTCGGGGTGTAGATCTAGATATCTATCCGTCGATATCTGCTCTGTCTGTCTACCTGTCGATCTATCTGTCTGCTCTCTCTATCTATCTATCCATCCAGCAAATCAACAGAGAGAGAGAGAGAGAGTGACCAGAAGCCGTCGGGGAATCCGGGTTTCCATCCGGGATACTTGAGTTCCTGGCTCCTGCTTTAGGGTATCCCTCCTGAATCCTCCTCAACCCTCCATTCCGTGCCCGGTCCCTGACCAGTTGCTCTCTCAGTCGCGGCGGCATCTCAAACCTTTGCTCTGGGACACGGAAGAGCAGCGGCATCACAAGCTGTGGGTTTCCATGACCAAAAGCCCTCCTAAGCCCAGAGAGGAGCTGAACTGCAGGGATGCCGAGAAGAACCGACTGGTGGGAGATGGTGGTCACGGTGTCTTCTCCCCAGAAGCCGTGCAAACCTGTGCTCTGCAGGTCTCATGAAAAAAACTTGTGCCGCCCATGTCAGCATGACCAGGCCAACACATCTAAGCGCGAAACACAAACAACGCAAAATTAGGTGCAAGAGCCGCTCAGGAGCAGGGGTCCGCATCTACTTTGATCTGCTTCCCCTTCAAGGACAGTACACGGCAGTCAGCCAGCACTTTGTCCAGCTTGGCACAGAAGTTGTATTTCAGGGCCCTCACGAAGCTTTGGTCCGAGGCAGGCCACACCTGGATACACTTGCACCCCCCAGTTGCTTCTGCCCCAGTTGCTTCTGACACACACACACACACATGCATATATATATATATATATATATGTATCAATTTAGATGGATTAAGATTCCGATTCAGTGTTCTAGCAAACCCTCCATCCCAAGATTTCTTGCAAACTTCGTGGCCTCCTCCAGGGGCGCCGCACCCAAATCCAGGTGCAGCTTCTCCGAGACTTTCCCATGCAGATCCACGTGCAGCAAAGGGATGCCTTGTTTGTGAGATGTAGAGTCAAAGTATTTCGAGTTGCACCTCTTCTGCAAAGGCGACTGCATTGAAAACAGTCTGCTGAGGAACATCCCGAGTGCCCGCCCCTGAGCCTGGCCCGCCGCCCCCTACAGTAGTGGCCCAGCGGTGCAGTGCCCGATGCCAGGGCGACAGTCGGAATTGTGAGGCCAGAAGGTAGTTGGGATCCAGTCGCCTGACGACAAACGTCCCTCGCCCAAACTACTCAAAAAACAGCAAAGCCATTAACAAGCATTATCATACCTTTCTCTTGCCCGAGTCACCCGTGGCCGGGGCCCGCCGCACGATTCCAGACCATCACGGACGCCGGCAAGCCAGCCCGACACAGCTCTCGTGCCTGGGATGGATCAGACCGGCTTGCGAAACACACTTGTCACTGTCTGAAACCGTAACAAGCACGATGCGAAATCACTAGCATGTACATCCGCCAAGTCGAGGAACCACGATCATGGATATCTCTGCCGTCCAGCGCTCACGCTTGTGGTTGCGAGTTCGCTCCTGGGTGTCACCGCCGCCACGGACGATCTTGATTGAATGAGGTGCGGTGATCAGTACCGGGCCACCGAGGCAACAAATGTAGTCGAGGCCACCCTTTTTCAGAATGGGCCCCGAAGGTGTAGGAGGAGCTTTAGGAGGTGGAGCTTTCGGAGTTGCTTTGGGAACTGCCTTGGGCTTGGCCGTGGCTTCCGGGGTCTCCGTCTTTTCAGCCGCTTGAGACGTGGTCTGGCCGATGTCTTCTGCACCTCTGCTCATCGTCCGCGCACGGGCTGCTCGTTGGATGGTAACGACGGAGGCCTCCAAGCGCTCGTTGGACACAACCTGCTGCTTTCCTCCGCAACAGTCACTGCAAGTCCGTGTCAGCTGTGGTGGTCCAGGCTCGGCTCCAGTCTCATCCGCGCTGTGGAACTGAGCCAGGCATTGCATTCGCACCATGGACATCTTGTCCATGATGGCATCTTCCTCCCCATCGGTCTCGACATCGGGACGGTCGAAGGAGCACGGTGCTCCAAAGACCCAAGCAACTAACTCCTCGTACGGGATGCCTTTGCTCTCGTGGAGCCTCATCTTTGCGATGAGCTCTACCAATCCACGACCAAGATCCGCCCCCTCATCCAGGCTACTGAGCAGCGCTTCTAGCTCCGATGCATCCAGCAGGCCATCTCCGTTCAGGTCGAACTTCCGGAAAATTTCGACAATCTCTGCCTCCGTTGCCTTTGGCGCTGCCTTGGGCATGGCCGCTGCCGCTAGAGGCACGCTGGGCTGTGTAGCACTCGCATCTGGCACCGCTGGTGCCGCTGGCTTTGTCGTGGCGGTTGGGTCCGGCTGGGCTTCGGCCGTCCAGCGCACGAAGCTGCGGAAGCAGTCGCCCAGCTCCTTGGTGCCTTCGATGTGCGGTGAGACCAAGAGCACTCGGCCTTTACCGAGAGGCCCTCCGAGAAGAGCCGGAGAGCCCTTCATCAACGGTGGATACGTACCCCGCTTCCCTCGAAGCTGCGACTGAAAATCGACAAAGGACTCCACACAGGAGTCCAGGATCTCCAGAAGTGGGCCGTTGGCATAGCGTACGGCAAATGTCGCTGGCAGGGTTTTGCCAGCAATTCGCCTTCCAGCATCAGTTGCGCTCAGCTCGCAAGCATCAGTCTTGCCACGATCCCAGTGGTCAATGTCCTTCGAGATGCCAGTGCAAGACTACTATTAAAAGCGCAGGGTCTTCCGCTTGCAACAGGCTCATCTCCTACTGCCACGCTGGGCGCTGAACTCCCGTATCTCCCGTCCAGAACATTCACGGGAAGGAGGTCGTAGCCCCAGGAGGTGCCGAGGTATGCCCCGGCGCAAATACCGACGTAGCCACCGCCAGCCTCCGTGGCTCGCAGCAACGAACATTAGAGACGGGGAGTGTGCATAATAATTGTACGTGTATGGCAGGTATTTGCCATACTGATTTTGTCTTCAAGACTCTAAACATGGAGACCTGTCTTCGGTAGGCAAGACATGATAGCTCAAGTCTGGAGACAGCACTGCGAAGGTGTTGGGCAAACTTCCCAGATCACTTTCCGAAGTGCTCCGGAGGCCATCGAATCTGCAATGCAAACATACACCCATTAGAATGCTCTACTTTCCTGTCTGCCGAGTCTGCATGGTGGAGAGGGGGGCAGAGGCACAAGGCTCAGTCCCGCATTTGCATCCGAGCATTCCTAGTGCCTTGACGAAGTCTCGAATGCGTTCGCCACCGAGATCGCCCAATGCTGCCTTTGAAGGAGAGCATGGGACAGACTCTTGGAAGACTTGGAAGTCACCTGTCTTGATCTGTGTCGCAGCTCTTGGTCCAGCAAAAGTCTACGTGAGCATCTTCGGTTTGTCATTAGACGACTTCTGGCGTGCGACTTGTCTGATTTTGCTTCAGGCTTCGGGAGATTCAGGGCTCTGCATTTTGTTTGGCTCTGGGACCGCACTATCACCCGGAAGCGAGGAGTTGCATGTGAAGCCTGATGCAACCCTTCTCCTGAAGTCAGCTGAAGTGTTTACTCTCCGCAGGGCTGATGTTCAAGAATTCGCGCACACAGCAGAGCGGACTGTCTTGACTTGAGGCTGAGAGGCAGCAAAGTTCGGTGCATATCCACCGGGAACAATGAAGACGTCATAAGAGCTCGTCAGCAACGCACCCTGGCGAAATAGCTGCACAGCACTGCAGCATCTTCCTTCAAGGCTCTTCGCACATCCTTTTCTGCGGCAACGCTGCCTGCCTTGCGCACTTCCTCGGGAGTCAGCCGAACGAAGGACCAGCCGGCCTGACAGGGCATTCTATTGCGTTTGACGGTGCTGGTATTGGGTTGCAGGATGGACACTCCGACATGGGGCAGGCGAGCTTTTTCAGTTTTGTCAAACTATGACGTTTTCCTCCCTTTCATGCATCCGGCACCCTGTAGCAAAGGATCCAAGCTTGCATGTTTATACAGTTACGTTGTATGCCGAAGCTCATGTTGGACATGTGTCAGCAACCCTAGCTTTCTGCAGTAGTCTAGGGTCGGTGGATCAGGCAAAGACTGTAATTTCCATACCGCGGATGATGATTCACGAGAAGGCTGACACGTACAGCAATATTCCACGGCTGATGCGTATTTCCTCCAAGAGCGTGGCATTATCGGAGTCTTCGTGCATCTGCAACGAAAACCCGAATGATCGAATGGCTCTGTGCGCTGGCATGGCATAGAATTAAATGCAACGCACTTCCTCTTCCCTACGCAGGTTGAACAAATATGTGCTTCTCAAGTCTTGCCATAATGCCGTTTCCATGTTTTTCTTAGTCTCTAGAAACCACCGAGGAAGCATCATATCTACTTCCGACAATCTCCAAGTCTTCCAAAGCTCCATCTCATCAAAAACATCAGACCTGGTCTGTCGAGAGATTGAAGCACAGACCCCCCAACGAAAGACGGAAGCGGACCACACTGGCATGTTCTTGGTACGACCAGATAGCAAACTTGCCTCTTTCTGCAAACGGTCGCGGAGGCTCGGCTTCGGATAGCCGGGCTTTGATCCGAACCTTGGATAGTTGAGGCAGCTGCAGCCTGCCTGGAGCTTGGTCGCTCTTGAGGGGTCTTTGGTCTAAGAGTTTGAAGCACTTGGGTCCGACTCTCCCCTTACTTTTGATCGCTCGCGTCTGGCAAGCTTGAATCCGGCCTGCACTTACCTGAAGTTACAAGAAGTGCAAATGCAGGCTGCGGAAGACAGCTCAGGCATGATTCCCTCATATCAAGTCTCGCGAGGCTGCCCTGACATGCCAGGTCTCTGTCTCTCTGGCATCTGTAGCAGTACAGTACAGTCTAGTTGTTACTCTCTAGGCATTTTCTGTTACCCTAAACCCTAAAGACCAAACCCTAAACCCTAAACCCTATTCTGTTGTCTTTACAGGAGCTTCTTTGGATCCCTAAACCCTAAACCCTAATTCCCAGGAGCTTCTTTGGATCCCTAAACCCTAAACCCTAGTTCCCAGGAGCTTCTTTGGATCCCTA